AGCGGGGGGTACCGGAGGGGGAACGGACATTGCCACGGGAAATCCCCCCCCTCCCTCCCGGGGAACGGCGGCGGGATGCCGGTGGCGTGAGGGCTGTGGCATCCCCGGGAGCCCCACGGAGCGGGGGGCTGGGGATCCCCGGGTGACGGCCCCACGGTCCGGGGCGGGGGGCTGGGGGGGTGAGGGACCTGCGATGCCCGGTCGGGCGGTGCCAGGGGCTCCCCCATCCGGTGCCGTGCGCTTGCCCTGGGGAGCCAGGGGGTTCCGGTCACCCCCTCCCCCGGTCCCAGCCGCAGCCCCCGCCGCGGGGGGGGAGCAGCGCAGCGACACTGGCGGGGGGGCAGCTCAGCCGCCAACCAGACCTTAACAGCCCCCCCCCGGGACACTGCAGCGGGACACGTGGCTGTGCCAGGTCAGGGTGCCAGGCTGGCCCCGAGGACAGTGAGGGTCAGAGGTGGCACCGGGTGACATACAGCGCTGCCCTGGGGGCACCCTACACCCTGGGGGGGGGCTTCTCTTGCCCCCATGCAGCCCCCTTGCCCTCCTGCTCTGAGTCCTTATCCCCCTGCGCTAGGGCTCTCTCGCCTCTTTGCTGGTGGGGGGCACAGCACCAGCTGTTCTGGGTGATCACAGCCCCCACGGGAGACACCCCCCACCCCGGGACTGCACCCACCCCATGTGGTGCGAGCACCCCCTCTCCCTCTGCTGCGCCCTGATGCCATGGGGCTGTGCCAGGAGCAGCAGGACAGTGGTTACAGGGCAGAGCTGTGCCAACCCTGGGGCCACCAGTGCTCTCCAGGAGCCGGGGTGGGTGACAGGGGGTGGGGGGTAGCCCGGCGGGGGTTGCCCCACGCAGGCCGTGACCCTGCCGCCACTTCCTCCCCGTGGGCAGGGCGGCAGGCGCCCGCACACACGGCGCCTTGTTCTGCCAGGACCCGGCCGGAAGGACTTCCTCCATCCCGGCCAGGGGATGACGACCCGGGGAAGCCGGGCACCGGCAGCCCGCTCCCCCCGCAGCCCAGCAGAGCGGCTCCGGCAGCCGGCCAAGCCCCGCCACCTGGCTCGGAGCAGGGCCATGGTGGCCGCGTCTCCCCACCTTGTCCCCTCGGCTCCAGCCCTGACTCACCTTGCTGGAACTCGTCTCCCGCGACCGGACCTCACAGCGTGGCCGTGGCAGCCCGGCAGCGACGGCTCGGCGGTTGTGGGGGGGCTCGAGCAGCACCCACGGCGGGCAGGGGGCTGCGGCCATGCAGGGGAGGTTGGGTGCTCCCTCGGGGCATGGGTAAGGCGGAGGCGGGGGGCACGGCGGGGCCTGCGGGCATCCTCAGGCCGGAGGAGCCAGGCCTCCGGCCCCGCCAGCACCGGGGGCCGGGAGCTGCCTTCCCCTTCCCCACGGCGGCGGCGGGGGGAGGCAGGCGGGGGAGCGCTCCCCGAGCCACATGGTGGGCTGGAGGAGGAGCCGTTGCCCAGGCAACAGCTGAGAGCATCCTTCACCCCTGAAAATCGTGTGCCGGCGCTGCTGCCACAGCCCTGCAGCTCAGGGCAGTGCCCTGGACCCCCCCCAACACCCCCCTCAGCAACCCAAGGCCCACCCAGGGCTTGTTGTGTCCATGGGGTGCAACCCCCCCCCCAGTTCCAGCTTCGGCTGTACACCAGCACACCCCCTCCTGCACACTGCTGTCCCCCAGCAGGGACAGGGAGAAGACATCCCCCAAACACTGGGGCTGGGACACCCCTGGGCTGGGGGGGTGTGTATTGGGACAGACAAAAACCCCTTCCCTGCCCCGCTCTTGATTAAGCCACGGGCCACCCACACTTGGCCCTGCCTGCAGAGCCACACCGGCTGTGTGAGAGGCACCACCAACACGTCGGTGACCCCAGGACCTTGGTGCCAGGGTGCCACAACCCAGGCAGTGCCGGGGGGGCAGCGCGGGCAGCCCTGGCCTAGTGGGGTGGGAGCAGCAATCCCCAGGCAGTCCCCATCCCCCCGCCCTGCCGCCTTTCCTTCCACGGCTGCAGAAAATTCCTGGATTTTACCCCAAGATGCCCCCTCCGAGTGTGAGAACTCCTCCTCGGCCCGCTCCCATAGCAACTGTTCCCTAGCTACCCAGTCGCACTTGCTATTCTCATCCCGGTGCAGCTGTG